CTGAAGAACAACGATTGCTCTTGAATCCAATTCAGTAACTCTAGGAAAAAACTGCAAGTGAATTATGTCCAGTGAAGGAATGAAGATTTAGCTTAAATGCTCCCTCCCATTAATCAGCACATGATAATTAAAATAGAGTTAATTCACGAGAAAGAGAGAAGAAATAAGAGTGGATTGTACGGTAATTCAAAAATGATCTAAATCATGAAAGTAACTCATGAAGCTGAATTGCTGAAGTTCTCACCGTTACACTGATAAAATAACAACAACAACAAATGGTCATTTAGTTTTCTCAGATATTAAATCCCACCTACAGAAATCGATTTATGTTCCACCTATGAAAATAACAGTGTGAAAAAATGCAGAAACTGCTAAAATGATCCCAAAGAGATGTGAGGTCAGGTATGAGAGAGTTGTGACCATTTGCAGCAGTGGAATTAGTTTGATGAATTAGGCAAAATAGGCCACAGAGTCCTTGCCTACGTAGACCAACCATAGCAGTAGCAAAAGATTCTGCTCTGCAGGCCGTTCGAGCCACGTTTCAGTGTAGCTTCAGCAGGTCCACCATTGGCCTGAGCCGTTTTGTGACTTGTCAATCACAGCGCTCCACATTTGTTGGGCGGGCTCAATGCTAAAGCTGCGACAGAGAAAAACTACAAAGATGGCATCGGCTCAGGACTCTCACTCCTTTGAAAGACTTTGATATCATTTTATGGGCAATGAGCAGATAAAAGTACTTGAGAGAATGCATTTGCTTCTTTCATTTTTCCGGTTTACAGCTGACTGGTTTCTGTGGCGATTGATATGTCACATTCTTTGTTGCTCTGATTGGTCCTAGCACTGTCCAATTGCATGCAGAGACAGTTTGAAGGCAACTGTAGATTCCACCCCATGAACTGGTTTTTTCAGTGGGTCGTGGCCAGACTATTTACACACCCAGTCAAAACAAAAGTCTCCACTTGCATCTAAGTAAAAATATATGAGCCTCCTATTGTATAATTACTGCACAGGCGATTATCTTTCAGCTGGCATCAAGTTATTTAACCCCAACTGGTGCAATGAGTTGCTTCTCAACTCTTAAACAAACATGTGGAAAGACACATCTGGTGGTCGTGGAAAAGATGTTAGTCTGTGTGAGAAGGATCGGATCCTTGGCATCAGGCAGAGAAAACATCTAAGAAACAACTAAAACTGGGTTAAGAACTAAACTGTGTGAGTCCAGATGAACCCTGTTCCAGAGTGATGGCGCATCCGGGTAAGAAGAGAGGCAGATGAAGTGATGCACCCATCATGCCTAGTGCCTACTGTACAAGCCTGTGGAGGCAGTGCTATGATCTGGGCTTGCTGCAGGTGGTCAGGTCTAGGTTCAGCAACTGTAAGTGCTCTCCTTGAATGCCAAGATTTTCCCCACAGACTCAGAATATGTATGCTAGTTAATCAAAGATCCTAAATTGTACTTAAAGCTGTTATTGCAAATCTGCAAACAAGCTACTGTAGGTTTTGAATGCAGACACGATCACGGAACGATCACCCCTCCCCTCGGATATCTTTCCTGGATCCGCATCAACCGTAAACCCTCATTGCCAGAGGAAATGAGATAGTACTAAACACCAGTTGCTGTTTTTGTCTTTTATCGTCCGTGACTTCGAATGGTGTTTTTCTTTTTGGGACTCGGGTAGTTTGTCCTAAAGTTGGAGTGGTAGCAGCTGGCTGTTTCTCCCCCTCTGATATTACTGAGCAGAGAACCTCTCACACCAGTGGTGTTCTGTTGCTGAATACGTGGAATGAATGGAGGACTCAGGGAGGTATGGCAGTTTGGCGAGACAAGACAACTAGATAGGCCAATAGTAGAGGGTTTAGACTAAGTCAAGAGAACCACTTGATTAGTTTTTTATCTCCACAATATATTTATAGCTGTGTTAGAAATTTGTTAAGAGAACAGAAAAAAATGTTTTAAGCTAATGTTTTTCAAAATTTGAGTTTGTGAGTTTTTGTCTCTATGTGTCTCTGTTATGGACTAGCAATCTGTCCAGGGTGTCTCCCACCTCTTACCATTTATACCGGAGAGGGACATGGCTTCCTTTGACCCTGAGGAGGAGTGGTTCAGAAACTAAGAGTGAGTGATTTGATATTTAGGCATGGAGGCATCTCCATCTCCTGACCTGAATGCAGCTGGGAGGAGGAGAAACTCCTGCAGGAGGCCCGGGCCGAGAGAAGGGCCTGCAGCACCCGCTGCTCATCGAGAGGACGACCAACAACACGTGCTTCTACGTCTGGATGTGTTGCTTATCAGTTTTTGGAGAAAGTGTGGGCTCTAGCAACTTGAGAACTATAGCAAATGAGACCAGTTTATTACCTGCTGCTCCTGTTTTTAAAACTTTTCATGGAACAAAGTGATTGAAAATCATCTTTTATTCACAAAAACAACAAAGTTTAACTTTTGATCTGATCACATTCAGTGCATGCTACAGTAAGATGTAGGGCTCAAACGTGGCTGGCTAAGTTTTCTGAATGAAAGCATGTGGAGCGGAGGCAGAGGTGTGCAGAAAAGGTCTTCAGGAATCACCTGAAACAGATCTTGAGTAAGTCTGAAATAAAAAAGGCCGTGAGAGGATATTTTAGGACACTTTCTCACTTTTTTCTCTTTTTACTGCTCGCTGTCGATCTGTAAAAATAAATATACCATTTTGTGGGCGACGGTGGCACAGGAGTTAAGTGTTCGCCCAGTAATCAGAAGGTTGCGTGTTCGAGCCCCGCTCAGTCTGTCACTGCTGTTGTGTCCTTGGGCAAGACACTTCACGCACCGTGCCTGCTGGCGGTGTTCAGAGGGACCGGTGGCGCCGGACTGGTGGCGCCTGTGTACGGCAGACTCGCCTCTGTCGGTGTGCCCCAGGGCTGCTGTGGCTACAGCGTAGCTCATCACCACCAGGGTGTGAATGGGTGAATGACTGATTGTGTTGTAAAGTGCCTTGGGGGGTTCCAGGACTCTAAGATGCTATATCAAATACAGGCCATTTAACATTTATTTAAAAAAATATATAATTCACATTTTAATAAAAGGACCTAAATAATCCTCGAGTCTGTGTGATGAGGTTGGGCCAAAAACAAACTATTGTTGGCAAGATGTGTTTAATTTAAGCAGTGAAGTAGAAAATCCCCGCGTACATGGTCTAATAGCATGCAGGATGTGGACCTTTAATTTACACTGATTGTTTTTGCTTTGTATCGTTAAACCAGTCATCACTCACTAAACCGCTCATTCCTCATCAGGGTAACAGGGAGCGGCGGACATCTTGGCCAGGTCACCAGTCCATCACAGGGTCAAACGGTCATTTGTGTTTTTACCTGTGCAAGAAAGCAGGAGTACCGAGAGAAAACACACACACGCACAAACACACGGAACGAGCATACTAACTCCGTGCATAAAGGCCACTGCTGGGATTTGAACCCACAACCTTCTTGTTGCGAGGTCACAGTGCTACCATCGGCACCACCAGGCAGCCCAAAACCTGTCCCCCTTGGTGGAAATAATGCAACACTGCAATGTTTTCTGAAAACTGTTGTGTTATTTCCAGACATCTTTACTTTCTTAGTCATGGTATTACCTCACCTGCTGCATTAAGTTCCAACTACTAGACATGCCAAAATAACAAGATGAAGACAAGGATTTCATCCATCAGTCGTCAAACAGAGTCGAGTTTGATCAGCAGATCTGAAGATGCTGCAATGTCTGCAGAAAGTACCAAACGTCTCATCTTTACACTTTTATGGCCATTTCTGTCAGAAACAAAGCCACCGATCCAATATTCAAAAGCATGAGATGAAAAGCTGTAATTACACCACACAATATGAATCCATGAATAATTTTCTGTGCGCTGAAGTTTAGATGGTTATTATATGATTTAGTGTGTTAGTCAGCTGGTATTAGTCTCAAGTACTTCTGTATATGTCAGCGACTACACACAGCCCCTGAAATATGTAGAGAAACTGAGTCAGAGAACTAAATCCCCACATGTCAAGATCTATATGCTGCAAACGCTAGCAGAGACGTTCGGTGTGATGAACGACTAGAGGCATAAAGCTGGGAATGCTCACAGACCATAAGAGTCTCCGATATAAATTGCCCATCTTCACATTCTGACACGTATGCTCTTGTTTACAATGGTTCGACCGTAAATATCACTCAAGAGCTCCACGTTTCACACTCGGTCTCTGAGCCAAGATCCGTTGTGAAGCATCCGTGCTGCATTCCTGCATCCCACAATAATGCAGACTATAGAAAACCAGCAAAAAGTCTGGCTGGCTGGATCAGACCATACCCTAATCCTTACAGGATGTACATCCACGCTTAGATTATACACACACACACACACACACACACACACACACACACACACATGCGCGTCACGCTACATCACTGACCTCCCAAATGCATGAGCTTCTTGCCAGGTAGCAACAGTTTCAAATCAACAAATCTTTGCTCCAGGAAATAGTCTGGTTCATTTAGGCCTCGATAAAAAACAAGGATCAACTTCCAGACAGCAGTCAGTGTAAATGATTTCTATGCTGTCCCTTATTTATCTGAGGGGCACATTTCAGATCTGTGCTGGACTTGGAACCAGAGAGGTCTTTAGCTGGAGGCCCAGTATGAACTGGATTTGGACGCAAACACAGTCTGATACTTCCAGTTGTTGGGGCGTTGACTCCTCCCAGCTAGCTGAAACTAAGGTGCTGCCTTCATCTCCAGCTGAGAGCTTCCTCTCATCCTGATTTGACTCTCCGTCTGATGAAGGCAGGCTTTTTGTCTCCAACTCATTTATTACTCCATATTTGACCTTTTTGTTCGACATTGACTCATTTTTCTTCTATCCTTCCATCTGCTTCCTGTCCCGTCCTCTTTCTGATTTTCATCTTTCATCCATCGTTTTCTACTTGTCCTGCTCCTTCTTCCCCCTCTTGTCATACCAGACATTTTTAGATTTTTTTCTTTTTCCTTTGAT